GACGCCGTCGCCGTGCGATTGCGGCTGTGGTCGGGCGGGTCTCCTTCAGCGCGCGGCTACGCCCGGTACCCGGTCTTGCTGGCGTGCTCCTCGAGACGGCGCGACTTGCGGCTTGGCGTGTCTTCGCTTGCTGGCGCTGCCGCTGCTGCTTTGCGGTTGCTGGTGCGGAGTGGTCAGTATTCTTCACGACTTTCTTCACGACCGCGCCAGCAGGCCCGCCGCTGCGTGTTTGTGACACTCTGGAGGCGCCGCGAGTTACCGGTCTGCGTGCCTTTGCCTGCTGGCCCCGGCCCTGATGCGGTGTGGGTTTGGCCTTGGCTTCGGCCTTGGCTGTCTTTGTGCTGCACTGCGTGTCGACAGCCTGCTGTGGTGGCGTGGATTCTGCCTGGGCTGCTTCTTCCTTGTCGCTGGTGCTAGTGGTGTGGGTGGTTGTCGAGGAAGGCGTGTCCGAGAAGCCAGCAGTTGTGGCTGTCGTCTCAGGCGCAAGTGCTGGGGCTGAGGGGGCAGGGCCTCTCGTCCCTGTGTGTGTGTGTGTGTCATGTGTGTGTGTGTGTGCGTGTGTGCGTGTGTGCGTGTGTGTGGCATCGTTGGTTGTTGAACACAAGAAAGAAGGTGTACGAGGACACCACGAGGTATGTGATGATGACGGAATACCAAGATAGCAGCGAAAAAGAGGGTAAGGGAGCGAGAAGGCAAAAGGGCAAGAGGGCACAACATCACGAATGCACGGCCACCTGGGCAATGGCGGAAACATTCTCGTAATGCGCCATGTGCTCTTCGTCGAGCAGCCACTCAATGACATACCCAAGCCTGCTCAGCTGAATCCCGCGACCAAGGCAGCTATGTGAGCGCAGCGTCCAACGACAATTAGCAGCATACAAAGCAACAGCCAGTCGACAGCAACAGCTCAACAGCACGTGCAAGACCTTGCGAAACACACACTTACAAACACACATGCACACTTCCAGACACACACACACACACACTTACAAACACACACATGCACATACAAACACACAATGCAAACACCCTCGAAAACGCGATGGCAACTCACGTCGATGTCGCCAAGTTTTGTGTAAAGGACACTGGGAAAGGCCTCGCCACCGTGCATCTCCTCGCCCAGCGTGCACGCGTACACGGACACTTTATACATGCAGACAGTGATGGCAAAGGGGAACAAATACCCCTTCAAGTCACGCCACTCCGGGCCTGCGGACTTGATGGCCTTTGCTGCGTACTCCAGCACCTGCGCCTTGGCAGCATCCTGTGCCCGCCGGCTGTCACGGGTCTTGAGATCAATCAACAGTGGGTTGCAGTCAAGGTTCGAGGCCAGACGCACAGCATAGTGAACGACAACAGCGGGGTCGGCCTCAAACGACGCGTGGCTCTTGACGTACACTGCTGCATCACCACACGCCCTGACGAGGGGCGCTTGCATGCGGTCGTTGAAGAGCGTCTCGGGCGTGCAAAAGGCATCAGCAAAGTCTGCAGTGCAGTCAGCGTGCATGTGTGTGCGTGTGTGCGCATGTGCATGTGTGTGTGTGTATGATTGAGGGATACTCTCCTTCAGAAGCAGCTCATGCATGCGCAAGCAAACACATGCATGTACATGCACATGCGACACAAGCACGCGCATGCATGCAAACGAGTGCTGAAGACTCACTCCCTTTACGCCAGCACCAACACACATGTAACATGCACACACTCGACAGTGGCCTTACGCAGGGGTTTGTCCTTGTGTTTGACCACTTGGAACCACTCATTGTGCAGGTGCCAATCAGGGCAGAGAAGCTCGGCCGAGAACGGCTGCGCATAAACTGTTCTGTGGGCCACGTCCACGTCCTTTTCCTTCTCCTTGGCAGCATTGCGGGGGTCTACACTCGACTGTAAATCTGTATGAACCACACGAAGCAGCCAAAATGAGTTCCAGCAATGCGTCGGCAGCGTGTTGGCCAGACTGAAACGTCGCTGTTGCACGTTCTCTTCCACGCCGACGTTCCACAACAAGGACAAGGCCAACGCACCTTGTCGAAACTGTCCCAACTCTTTGCACTCGGCCGGTCCTTTGCGTGCGACTTCATCAAGACGACGAAGGAAGGTTTCCGCCTCGTCGAAGGTCACCTGTGGCACCTGCGCCTTCTTGATGTCGAACAAACTGCGGATTTCCTGTAGTAGGGTCTTGATGTCTTCCGTGAAGGACAGCTTCATCATGTTGTCGAGGTATGTCCTTGTGGCAGGTTTCTGCGGGGCACGCCACACTGGAAGGACTTCAATCCCATTCTTGGTGGCAATTGTTCGGATCTTCTCGGCGAAGGCATGGTATTGTGAATCGTCGTCTTCCTGGGTGCCCTTCAGAAGGCTCGTGTACTCTGCTGTGGCTGCTTGCAAATACGCGCGCGCAAGAACGCCAACCTGAACAAAAGGAGGGGGAAGAAGTGGGTTGAACAAGATATGCAGCAGGTGTCTACAAGTGAGAAGGAGAGATGACTGTGGTGCGCATGTTGGCGGCATTTGTGGGCAATAATGCCACTTTCCAAGAAGACACACACACAGCCAAAGACAGACAGACAGACACAGCCACAGCCACAGACAGACACAGACACACGCACACACACACACACAACAATATCACCCACCTCGTTTGCCGACAAGGTTGTGTAGACTACTGGGACATCTTGAGGCGCTTCCGTGCTGTCCTCGGACGAGTCGCCCTTGTTGTGGGTAGATGTGTGTGTGAGGTTGAGTGGGTGGGCAAGTGGCGTC